TACTTGTGTCTGCTACAATGCTTTTGCAGTGTATCCAAGATGACAACAAACTACACTAATTTGGATGAAGTGGTCGAAGCTATAAATATGTGAAAATCTGATTTAAATACTAAATCGAACTTGGTGTGCATTGAATTTGCTGTTATCAATGCTATCTTTTAGCTGAAACTAGTTGACTTCAAGGATAGAATGGAATCTATTAAAGGTAAATTACTATTATCCAAGAAAAAATATTTAATGAAATCTTTGTACTTATTGACAGAACAATATAGTCATTTTTGATGTACCTAATATGACTGAAAGAACTCCAGCGGGTTCAGGAGAACATGATGTAAATATTATTGAATATATTTTCAAAGATATCCCTTTAAAGACTAATTACAATATTATTCATATCGCCGAAGAAACTAGTACTAAAACTTATCTTTGCCTGTCAGGATGATGTGACAACCTGCTTGGGAGTATCTTGGAGTTGACATAAGGATACAATAAAGTTTCCAATCTTTTCAAATGCAGGGCTACTCAAGATCAAACTCTTCTACAAACAGAACACCATAAGCTAACATAATTACTGCAATGTCACCACAGGGGCATCAGAAAAAGAGAATTCAGTTCATGTCCAACATTTCCAGGATGGTGAAAAAGCATGTTACTATTTTTCAGCATTGAGTGCCGGAATAGCTTAATACTATTATCAAAACTTATGTGTGAACAGGTTAGACTTCTTATTTGTTAGCTATATTAGTTGTTTTGAGAGGATCTTTATTGCTAAAATTTAATTTAACCCAGAGATTAACTTGTTGAAATTTATAAGTTGTAATTATTTGATATTGTGCTTTGTGATCATCACAGAAACAAGGTGTGAGTGCAGTAAATAGAAAAGTTTCGTACTCCACTATAAATGTAGAAAAGATAAAGTATACTGCTCCTTTTGTTGACATTATGGGAAAACAATTGGCGGCAAATGTCAATAGTGGTTATTATACCAATCTTCAGCTGTCTATTACAGACTTAGGTTTTGTTTGTGAACTACACGCTTTATATTACATCAGAATTGAATTAGCCCATGAGAATGATCCCTCAAAGTTTTGGGCTTTTACTACAAAACTATTCAAACAAGTTTCAAAACTACCAGAATTCCATCGCACTTAGTGTCATCTGACCCTGTTGCCTACGTAAATAATTTCTTACAATTTTTCTCTGATTCCTAGAGTAAACTTCCTAGATCCAAACTTTGGTGATAAATTTATATCCAACAGTATTCTACACAACATGACTCGGGATGTCATAACTCTTTTGTATTGAACTGTGAGAATGAATGGATGCATTTACAGATTCACACTCATTAGTGCTGCTACAAAATTTGTCAATTCTAACACTTGAAGAATCTACATCTCATTACACATTTATACGTAATCTTTCTTCATATTCTTGGGATTTTCTGTTGGCTTTATATCATAAAACAGAAAGTGAATATGATGTGATACCTTCACAGTGGTCTGAGGTTCATTTTGTTCAGGACGTTTTGAAGAAGGCGGAGTAGCAAACAGATTTGCTATTGACTGTCTGAGTGAGGTTCGCTTTACTGTTTCTAATCTTGAAGAAGATTCAGGATCTTGTAGGAAACTTTGAAATTCCTAAGAAAAAGAAAGTATTAATGCATTAATGTTTCAAGTGGTATCCAAAGTGAGTCTTTCAGTATCTTTCAAAACCAAAAACAAGTATAAGTGTTAGATTAATATTACAAGTCTGTTTATACAAATGAAAATCACAAATTTGGTTATATTACATACACATCTACTAATATGCAATGCCTATCTTATTTTATATGAGAATATATGAATAATCTAGAATCTTACCACCCCAAAATGAATGCACTTGTGTGTGCGTGAGAGAGGGGGGAAAAAGAGAGATTGAGTGATTGTGTGCATGCATGGGTATGTTCTATAAAATCTTTTGAATAACTGGCGTGATTGCCCCCAAATTTTGCACTAAGAGACTTTTGAGAAGCCTAGAAAAAACAAAGGGGAGTTTACAATCCCAAAATTGATTTGACTCCACAATTTATGTTACAAGAAAAGATACATAAATTACACAATGCAAATTCGGAATACCCTCTCTCCCCTCAGTAACGCATTTGTAACATGCCCTTGACCCTCCCATCTTAAATAATTACATATCACTAGCAAACCCCCTACCATTTACAAAAAAGAGGAAAAAAATATTACAATGAAAATAATTTGTATTAATTTCATTATGCTATATATTAATATAGCACATAATAATAGTTAGAATTAATTGGCGATGGTGACTGCACCTAACAACAAGATTGGGAAACAATTTTAACATGAAAGATGGAAGCAAGCATTGGCAAGAGAATTTCTAACTAGTGCACATGTTGCAGAGAATGCGTGGGCGAGAATTTACTGCATCAATGTAATTGTATTCTAGAATATACCACAGATCAGTTTCAAATACTTTTTTTTCCTAATCTTAGATTCAACCAACATAAAATCGATGAAAATAGATTTTCAACTGTTTTAAATTTTTATACATTATACATTTTTTAATTTATTTAAATTTTTACTTTAAGTTGTTAAAGTTTTAGTGTAAGAAAATAATTATTTAAGCAAACATGGGAAAAAAACAAAAAAACAATATCCCATAACATAATACTATACTAACTCCTTACCCCCATGTAATGCAGCTCAAACCTCCTCTCCCTCTCATTGCATTGCATTGCATTGCATTGCATAATTTTTGGACGACCCCTTAGAGCTTATATGTATTTGTAAAAATAGTTGTTGTATGTTATTGTATTCCTGAAGGTGTCATTGTAATACCTGAAGATGTCTGTGATACCTTTTGCAATACCTTAAAATGTTGTTAATATTTTAAATTATTATATATATTAATATATATAATTATTATATATTTTTAATTATAATTTTCCTGTTATTATTTCTTCTAAAAAAGATATTTCTTTAGATATGATCAGAGGTTTTGAGAGTTCTGTTTGTTTTATTCCTGAACACCACTAGAGCACTGCTTGAAGAAACTTAATGAATGCCATATAGTTAACAAAAAAAATAGTCAAAAAAATCTTCTGGAGAGTGAAAGGGTAAGTTGTCTCTGTAAGCTGCATGCTATCTAGTTGAACGATCAAGTCAGATGTATGGAAGAGCTGATTTCATTCTTCTGCAAAAGCATCTGCAAAGTGCTCAGACATTGATTGTTCTACACAACGCTACCCCAAGATATGATAGGAAACTTTATAACCTCATCAGACACCACTTAACAAGTACAAGTGAAAGGTGTTTGTGGATAAGATAATTTTTTTTTTTTTAATGAAGAAAGACAAATTTCATTCTTCATGAATGCTCCTATATGTCATTATTGTTGTTGTTGTTATTATTATTATTATTATTATTATATGAGTTGTTTCTGATAATCAAAAATGTTTCTCTGAAAAACATATGAATCTGATTGAAAAGAATTTGGAAAATTGTGAATATTTCATTAATTTAAATATCAATAACAATAAAATGAGAAGAATGCTAACATTTGATAGTGTATGTTTCATTTAAATTTACTTTTCATGCATGTTTGACATTTTGATGGCACATGTTTGTGTGCATATTTTAGGACTTGCAAGTGCATGACAATTTCTTCTTTAGTGATAATATGCAGGTATGTGCCTTAGCTAATTTTTATCATTATTATTATTATTATTATTATTATTATTATTATTATTAGCCAACCGCACATCCCAATAAGGGTAAGGGCCTCCTGCTCATACAGACAATTATTAATACTTTAATGAAGTGATAGGATGATGATGAAGGGACGATCACAAATATATCCATGCCTGAGGCGGAATTTGGACCCGTGATCCTTCAATCCAAGATCGCCACGCCACTTCTGCCTTAGTGATCTCGGCTATCCGGATTGACAATTATTGTGATAGTGATAAGAAAATATGCAAAACTAATTACACTCGTGAATGGCGTACTCAATTTTTGAAAATTGAAAACAAAAAAATTAACATTTCAATAGTATAATGTTCATGATAAAGATTTGTTAACTGAAATCTGTTCTAAAAATCGTTTTTTTTTTTTTAATGGTAATGTAAATTTTTTTAAATATTAGTGGTTTAGCAAAATTTTTCAAATTTTCGATATTGCAATTTCCTTTCCCAAGGAGTTATTTAATTAGTAATAGTGCTAGTTATTTATCAAGAGTTATTTAATGCATGGCATTGGCAAAGAATGGGAACGATGCAAAATGACATTTTGAAATTCTCAGAACAACTTCTCTTTGTTGGTGTTATATACTACAAAATGATACCGTAGTTACATACTACATGAGGCAATGTATTGGGTGGCCTTCAATTCTAGATGTTAAGTTTATATGTGAAATTATTCCTACTTGTCTGTATAATTGTAACAGTAGAGAGTTATTTATGTCTGTTTCTTTTGAGTCATAAAATAGAGCAGCTTTTCTTAACTATCAAAATAATTGCTGATATGCACTTGCAGGATTTTTGTTTGAATGTTTGGACTCTTTTCAAGTCAGAAGAGGGCAGAAATTGAAATATTATAATGTTTTGTAACTGTTCCTAATAATGCAAAAAAACATGTTCTGTTGTAGTTCCTCTATTTTTGGCAAAAGTGAGAAAATTCGTTGAGAAACAATCTCAAAGTATCCACTCTGTATTTTGCATTAATACATTTTATAGTGTTCTGAAGTATTAAGTACTAATTTTTAACCTTGCTTTATATTTCCAACTTTTTTCCTCTACAATTTAAAAATTTGTGAAAAGTAGGATGCAGTAAATATAAAAGAGAAAAATTGAAATCACACAGAAGAAATATGGTGCAAGATCCAGAAGCATTAACCACACTGGAAGCAGGATGAGAATAAGCTAAATAATATACATAGCCATTCAAAATGCACTTGAATTCAAGTTAAATAAATTTCAAAAGTACTATTTGAAATAAAGACATTAAATTACATTATTATGTTGAATTGCCTGTTTAAAATTGACAACAAAGAAATACTTCTGAAATCGTAAAATGTCCAATTGTTGAAAAAAAGTGAGAAGTGGATTTAATTCATTCTTATTTTTTAGTACTTCATACTACTTGCTGAACATCCAGTTCTTACCAGTTCAGAGTCTATTGACTGGGTTCTGCAGAATCATTCTGGGATAAACATTTCTCTGGTGTTGCACATTACAGTTCACAATAGTGTCAAATATGACAGACTAAAGATTCATTTTTGTTATGGTTAGACAATTATTGCAATAATTATAGTCAGAGTCATCTCAGGATGAATTGATGAGGGTGAATGGGGATCATCCACCCTTAAGAGTTTGATGCCCCTCCTGGAAAAGGATTAAGTTATCCATGCCAATGACATAATAATTCCCTAAATAGGTGCCTCATTTACAATTTCCTCATTTCAATTTTTTTTCCCTCCCCACCAAAATGCAGAACAAACTGTACATGACAAAGAAGGAAGAAGTATAATCTGTGCATATTTCTTGAGCTTCAGAATCTCTTCCCTCATCCTTTTACCCTAAACAAACTACATATGAGACTGTTCAAACTGTGCTTTGTAGACAACTTCACATGTTCCTAACCCAAGCAAATTTGCTAAAGTCCATCCTATCATTTTCGTAAAAAAGTTATTAAGGCAGAATGTCTTCACTGTTGTTTAACTTACAAAATACACTAGAAATAGTGAGTGTACATGCTGAATTTACAGCATGATCATACTTCGGTAATAAAATTTGGGAACTGAAATATTCTGTAAGTAAATTAAAGATTTATTAAACAAACAAATATTATTGTGTTATTCAGCATGAAGATGAGAAGAAAGAATGCCCTATAACCAAAATGACAGGGTAAGTATTCACCAATTTTTGGCTTTTGCTCTATAGACCCACAATCTAAATGCAATATGCCACTACTGTTCACAGTAAAGCGAAATATCCTTAGTATTAAAACATTTTGTTTTGGCATTACATATTAATCATTAATGAAAATACATTGAAAGCATTAGAGATAAATACCTGTTAAATAATATAAGTGACTGAAGCAATAAACTCAAATTACAAAAAATGTGAATAAGATCACTTTTGTTCTTTTAACCTCAATTAGCCCTTCTTATTATAATACTAACTTTATAACATGATTTTCTGCTGCTCAGTATTCAGCTTGAAGTTGTTAACATCATAATTATTATTATATTAATATAATTAAATTTATTTACAAAAAAATAGTTTTGCATTATTAATTTCAAATGCATTTTGAAGAAAACAGTAACAAACAAATTCCACACGTGACAATTCACAAACAATGAATGTGTTGAAAAATATAATTATTTTACCATATCTAGATTTCCTCTGAAAAGCTGAAAGTCCTGCAAAATTAAATGTGTCCATATACTTTTGATTTGTCTATTTTTTTCCAAATATTAAAAATTAATGATTTCAGGCAAAGATAAAATCAATGTCTACATTACATTGCTATTCAATGCATCTAATTGGCTCCTATCTGTGATGGGAGTGAAATTTGATTATTTGAAGTTTTGTGGAATTACTTTGAATGAGTATTTTAGGTGTATTTATTAATAAATGTAAATAAAATTCTACAAAGTTACTGAAACATTTAATTGACATTGTCCCATTAATGGATTCCCTAGATTTGAAGGATTATTTCTAGTAAAATTGTTCTCCTCGGACCCCTTCTTTTTCTTAGAGAATGAATTGATCTTCAATCAAAGTAGTTATTTTCTTAGCAAATTAAGATACTTTTTTAAATTTAATTTGTTCATTTTAATAGTATTTTTGGTTTAATATATTATAAATAGTACATATTTTAATTAACATAATTGTTCATTAAGTCTTACCTCAAGATCTGTATTCACATTTATATTAGCAATATCATTGTAGCCTTTGGTAAATAATTCAACAGCTTTGACATGGAAACTAAGTTCCGCTGTTATATAGCTGAGGAGAAGAGATCTAATGTCTTGTAACTTTTTTTTCTCAAAATGATCCATTTGTTCTTCCAGCCATTTCATGTTATTTGCTACCTCCATACTTGCTTTCGAAAGTTCTACCTGTGCCGCTGTCTTGTCAAAATTTAAGATAAATATTATCATGTTATATTTATCAATATAATTGATACATAATATCATATTATCTATTAATTTATCATATTTGATACACATTACAGGAAAAGTATTTCATTCCAATAAAAGGCTCTATATAAGAATAAAAGGATCTTCTGAATATCTTCAATAACAAATTCTTCTGAATATCGAAAAGTTTGATTCAGTTCTGAGGGAAACTATTAATAGCAAAAACAATGAGATAATAAAAACAATTTGTTCATGTATCATAGGCAATTTGACTAAGATAACTAGAATTCTAATTAGGTTCCTTAGCTAGCTAGCTCTAGAAAAAATAAATTATGCTGCAAATATTATGTCCTAGAACACAGAATATCAAAGGGCTTGAAGGAAACTTATCACTTCTGATAATGAACACTATTTTTCATGAAGTGGTAACAAGCCTGAAGATGCATGTTAGAATTTCAATATTAATGAATAATTTTTATTGATTCCAATCTAGCTTACTCACAGTCAAATTGGAAAAATTAAAATAAAAGGAGTTTGCAATGAATGCCATTTAATATCGATGGGGTTTTACCAGTATTTACTTGGATATAAGAATATTTGTGTATGAGAATAGCCTAAACAGTACCTAGACTAAAAAATAAATAACTTAAAATCAAATATCATTAAGGCTCAATATTCAAATGGTATGGTAACACTTGTATAACATAACAGCAAACATCTGATCTGAACTTGACCTGTCAAGCACTCAGGGTTTTAAAATTATAAGAGAAGTTTGTAAAGTACTTAGCAGTAATAAATTGTGAAAAATAATCATTTTTATTTAATATAGCAAGTATATAAATTGAAATTCTATTTAATTCTACAATTGTTCTGAGTGATTACAATGAGCACAATTTTGCTTTTTGGGTGTGGGTATTGTGAATTCATTTACAATTCTGAGACTAGTTGTATCACTGAAATGTTATTCATCTCCTATAATCTTCAAACAATTTTCACAGAAACCTATAACAAAGGAAAATTAATGTGTGATCATCTGTGCATCCAGAAATACAACACATTAGCTCTACTCTTGATTTAAAATATCAGTGTTTTCTTTATATACAGACTTTTCTCTCTCTTACATTAGTTTCAGTGTGAACAATGGATCTACAAAGGAATATTTTATTACATTTTCTCAATGTTCCTCTTAACACAATGTTGGATTATAAAGGATACAATTTGTGGTCTATTCCTTGGATTTCTCTCTCTAAGGCGATCTAGTTGCTTTCTACGAGCATTTTCACGATCACGAGCTGCCAAAGTATTTTTAACTTCTTCCTTTGCATGTTTACAAAGTTTCTCATATTGTGATAATTCAGAAATAACATTTGACTCTATTCGCTGTATTTCTACATCCCTGCCATCAAAAAAATCACCAATGAGTTTTAATATATTGATTGTTTCATTGCAAATAATAGTTGTGAATGATCAACTAACTTGCATAAAATTGTGTCTTTTAGCCACTTGTAAGATAAATATCAGTAAATAATTGTTATTTATCATAGAAGTAGCTAAATTACTCCAATTTAGTTGATTATTCACAAGAGCTGCAATGCATGTATGAGCCCATAATGGTCTTTTAGTCATTTGAATTATACAATGATTTAACTTACATGACCACCATTTTAACATTTTAAAACATTTTGATATTTTACACCTATGAATAATGGTATAATATTGATTTCATATTTTTATAACTCATATTGACTTTTACTTATATTGACTCAGTACCCTTTTTTACATTGAACATTATAATGAGCTATTTAATCTACTGCAAACACATAAGTAAACAGTAAATAAAGTAAATATAAATTGTCAGTTAAGATAAAATGTGGTAATGAAGTAAACATGTAGAAGACAATCCCAAAAAGAAAAAAAAAGAAATACCTGTAATCACCAACACTTTCTAGCGTTTTCGAAAATTCAAGCAAACAGTTTTTTAGGCCTTTATTTACATGCTCTGCTTCTGAATAATTATAAACAGCTTTTGCCAATGCATCATTTTTATCTCTTAGCCTAGAACACATTATTGTGAAAAATATAAGTAGTAAAAATATAACAGAAGTATAAAATAGTATATTTCTGTCAAAATATTCTATTAATTTAAATAAACTAAAACATATTTCCATGTACTAACCCTGCAGCTTTGCGAGTGTATGCCCCAAGACATGTGCATAGTTCAGCAAAATGTTTTTCAACTAATACTACTCGTTCCTGTAAAAGTTTAGCATGCTGCTCCCTGTAATATTATTCATACAAGATGAATTCACTCACGGATCTGGCTGGGAAAAATAATGCACTTAAGAACATACTCGTTTTATTTTTACATTATATGTTAGAAATAAAAACTAATTAGAAGAAAATTACAAAATTCATAGTTGTTAATTTGTAGTGGAATCATTACACTTTTTATGGTATCGTTTTATGTTTGAAGTAACAATTGACAGAAATATTTTTATATAACTTTGAAAAAATATAGTTATGTTCACTTAGATGAAGAATTCCAAATGTTCATGTCCTTGTTCATTTGTCATTTCTATTTCTCTTATTAAAACAATGTTTCTCTGCCATTAAGTCTTTGATTCCCTTACAGAAAAGTTCCAAGAATTACAAAATTCAGTTGAGTAGTATGAATGTTCAATGACATGGAATAATAAAAATTAAATCAAATAAATTTGAAATATTATATAAATTTCATTTACTGTCACATCGTTTCTTGTCCAGGATATTGTTTCATTAAAATTGATTGTGTATTTTAGAAAAGCAACTGATATTATTATTATTATGTTATTATTATCTGCCATCTTGTTTTATTTATTTATAATTTATTTGTTATTTTAGATAATAATTTGATGATTTTGGTTTATTTTTGCCTGTTGACTACGGTCATTACAAGATTTTATTTTGTTAATTATGTACAACTAAATTTTCATTTTTACTGTTCATTGCTGTCATTACAAGATCTTAATTTCTTAATTATGTAGAACTTAATTTTTATTTTTACAGTTGATAACTGTTACTATAAGATGTTAATTTGTTATTTATGTGTAATTTAATTCCCTTTTTTGCCTACAATCACTTTGTTTAATTGAAAATGTATTTGTTATTTTAAATAATAATTTTAGTTGTTATTACATCAATTGTTAATTGTTCACTGTAAAGTCTCATTTTTGTTATTGCGTCATATTACTTACTCCCTAATTATTTAATTAATTGTGTCATAATATTTATGATTGTTGTGTGATCTATAAACAATGAATAATGTAGACAATTTAACAGTTAACTTCATGCTGATTTTGGTTGCCATTTGGCTTATAATTTCTATTCATTCCTTGAAAAAAATCTAAATTTCAGTGGAAATGGTTCATGCACCAGGCAGTAACTGGCAAACAATACATAGGATTGGGTGAACCATAGTCAACAATGGTAATATGCACAAAAACACACACACACACACACACACACACAAACAAAAGTAACACACCCCTCTCTGACAAGTACAAAAGTACTTTAAGAGGGTTTGGAGGGTACTGGGTAAAACAAATTTTATTAGAAAGATATTTTTGCTAACAAGTGTAATATGATGTAAAGTAGTTAAGCGAAATTTGTATTATGTATGGTTGTTTTTATGCTGATGATTTTTGTTGTTGTTCTAAATTTTTTATGTAATCTGATGTACTCTGTATCAATGTAATTCATTGGAAAAAACTGATTTATTATTATTATTATTATTATTATTATTATTATTATTATTATTATTATTATAATCATCATCATCATTTGTGTGGTTAGGAAAAAGTTAAGCAACAGACATTTGAGCGGAAAAGTTTAGTCCTGACACAAACCAAAATTGAAATCAAAGATTGTATGACATTCATCTCTTTGATGAAAATCATGTTTCAGGAAAGATTCACCAAAGATATGTTAATGTGTTTCATGAGCAATTAGTTTGGCCATCTTCGTTCATTCTTGTTTAGATCATCTGTGACCTGGACCTCATTTTTGAATTTTGACATGAATTTTCACATGTTTAAAATTCAAAGGGAGTTTAAGATTGTTGATAAAGAATCTATTCCAATGAATAATGTAATACAGGAAGGATAAAAATAAAACAAATAATAAGTTCATCTCATTCTATATTATGTGGCAGAGTTTTGACAATAGGGCAATTGGAATTTTATATAGACAATTCAATGTCAATTGGTTTTTAATGAATAAAATATATTATTATAAAATCCCAATTAGTTGTCAAGACATCCCCTCATCCCTACCTATTAGGAAATATTGATGTTTTATATTTGTGTAACTATGAATTATTGATACTACATTGTATTTTTTTAATAGTATGACATAATTGTTTCATTGCTCAAAATAAAATTTAATTAATTGCAAGACTTAATAATAATTTAATACTTTTAATGTTTAATAACATATGTAGGTCCTGTAACAAATGAAAACGGTATATATTGCTAATAAATTTACCATGTTGCATGTTGAGGTCTACTCGCCTTCATTGTAAATAAAACAAACAAATAATAACAGTATAGAACGTATTAGAAGACGAGTATTCAATGTTACACAGATTTTCACAAAACTGTTTATAGAGTATGCATCCGTTGCCAGGGCAACGACTATCGATTCAAAATGGCTCCCTCGACTATGCAATGCATCTTGTCACATCCAAGAAAATAGGCACGGTGATATCATCTCATTACAGATATACTTCGCTACGTATATCATAGAGGACAAACATATTTTCTCTATGGGGTGGTACTCGTATAGACATAGATAGGGTATAGGTCAAGAGGACTAAATGAACCCTGATTCTTGGTATTGTTTGTCACTGGCATGCAGAAATATTTAAAACTGAGTCCGCATGATGCGTCTTTTCGGTACAAAATTACATACGTAAAGTTGAGAGACGCACGTGCAATTTGGCGCACATGCACCACACTGTCCACACCGTGCCTCCTTGTCGTCCAATGGATCTCATGACAAGCGTAGAATTCATTCTGTCTTTGGTTGGTTACAATCCCGCACTCACATTCAGAGGAAAAAACTAGGCCCTATTTAAACGACCACACCTAGCTTCCAAAAATGTTTTCATTCAACAATTCAGTTCAGTGACGTTCTTGCTGCATCGAGTATTGCATAAGCAAACACCTCAATTATGCGGTCGTGATCACGTGGGATAAGATAACTACCGACAAAATTGTTTTGACTCAAACTTCTTTTCAATGATGAAATGAATAAGAAAAACTTCTATTATCGACTATCATGACTGCTAACTACCGAAAATGTTTTCTCATCCAATAATTATTTTCAGAGATGAAAAATTGCAAGAAAAAACCTCTGTCCGAGGTCACAATTCTGCGGCCTAACAACAATTTTGTTAGTCAACAATTCATTTCAGTGCCGAGTGACTACATAAAGCTGTGATGACGATGACAGCTAACTACTGAAGTGGTTTCAGTCGATGTTGAACCGCGGGACGGGTCAGACTGTAATGGTTAGACGGATCAGTGGTTAGAATAGCGAGAGAGTAACGACGTATATTACGGTAAGTCCATATAAAGTCGCGAACAACGGCCAAGAGCGCAGAACGTATTTTACAAAGGGAAGTGACCAGAATGAAGTAATTACAAAGACTTTCACATTTTATGCGCAAGGCCAAGAATGTCGTAATTTTTAAGAGTAGTAATAAATTAAGTCAGGATCCAAGAAAATATAGCCGCAGTAAAATACAATTTCAAAGTATAATAATAGTCTGGATCCGGCAATGTATGAAAATTCATTTCTTTTATTTACATAAAATGTTTATAAAGGTTAAATCCTAGATAAATATTTGTATCCAAAAATTCCCAGCCGAAATTGATTGAAAATTAAGAGGTCATGATAATGTTAACTATCCAACAATTTTCTTAAATAATATTTCAGTGACAGGAATTTGCGTAAGCTCAAATCCCTATTTAACTGTCGTGGTCATGCGAGCAAATTACAGAAAATATTTCTTCATTTATCAGTTAGTGATGAGAAAACGCATAATGAAAATCTTGTAATAAGCGCTCATGATCTTGCGGGATAACAACCGAAATTGTCTCTTCATTCAACAATACATCTCGGTGAAGAGAAAACGTATACGCAAAACACTCATTTAAGCGGTTATGATCATGACGGCTAATTACTGAACTTTTTCATTTGGAAATTAATTCCAGTAACGATAAAACACCATTAAAAGGGCATGACTAGGGGTCGTATTTTAAAGAAATGTATTTTTTTATCACTTTAGAACAATGCCGTTTTGTTCAGAAATTCATTTTATGTAAAGACAAATGACACATTTTTATGTTGTTGTTTTTTGTTTTTTGCATTTTTCGTCAATTTCTTCGAAAAAGTAATTTTTAATGCATTTTTGCCACTTTTATCGATTTTAATGGCACAAATCAATACCAAAGAATATTTACAAGGTGCTACAAATGTTCACCCCAGAATTCCTGAGAAGAATATTCGATTTTTTCACTCATATATTGTAGTATCAGCCGTTGTGAGTACTATGTAATCTAAGATTATTGTGACGCCTATAGACGCCATTGTCAGTTCGGTTGATTTCGCGATATATAAAGACAGAGATTTTCTATTAAAGAACTGTCCAACCGAAAAATTTGTCAGCTGAGTTCACTTGAACAATAGAAAGAAGCTTCGATTACGTCATTTTTTTTTCTTTTTGGAGCATTTTTAAAGCACTTTAAGGGCAATTTATTGATCTTTTTGGCAATGTTTCAGTTCATCAAAATCCGCCCCCTAGTCATGTTCATTCAGACGAGCTATCGAAAATACTTTTTCATTTAATAATTATTTTCAATAACAAGGAAATACATAAGTAAAAACCTGAATTAACCGGTCACAATCATAACTACTAAAGTTTTCTTCATTCAACATTTCATTTCAGTGACGAGAAAAATTAAAATGGTTAACATTTTTATTCTAACTCTAAAATTTATATTTGCACTCACGTGGAAGGAAACCTCCTTTGTACTCTTAATTGCAAATGACCATCCGGTATGAAGACTAAGAATTTATTTTACTCACGACGCTGCCTTCGCGGAAGGATAGTTGTCCTCCTTTTGAATCTTGAAATGGTCCCAGTGAAAATGGAATTGTAGATTTCGTTTTTTTTGCACTAGTGTAATCGTCAAAAGAGAAGAGAGAACAAGAAGGAACTTGGCTTTGCCCTCAAATGGGATCCAAGGACATACACAAACATAGGTTGAGATTTCTCGTGGGCGAACAAGTCTGAAAACATGAAAGTAAAATATCAAAAATCTTCACTTGTATCATCTTCCTTTCCCTTTTAGATTTTTAACGTAACCTGGCACTGGAGCTTCCGATACAAATACAATACACGACCGTGCCAGGAGGGAAAAGGAGAAAATAGGCAAAATGAAAATCTACTAAAACAACTCCAAAATTATAATTAAGTAATAATAATAATAATAATAATAATAATAATAATAATAATAATAATAATAATAATAATAATAATAATATAAATAGTAGCAGCAATTCCGCCCTGTGGCGCAGCCGGTTGCGGCAGCCGTCGTCTGCGCCGAGGAGGCTGCAGAATCGAATCCTGCATAGGCGTGGTCGTTGGTCGTATCTGTGATTGTCCTTTCGCCCCTCATTTTACTATCATCTCATAATTCTCATTACAAAGCGTTGCTGCGCTGAGGAAGCTGGCAGTTGCAAACCTGATCTTGGAAAAATTAAATGCGTTAATCGTGTAGCATGGTCAGTAATGTCCTATACGCCAACAACAACAATAATAAAGAATTTTTCCAAACTTCCGGGCTCTAGTGATAATTTAGTGATCAAGAAAAAAATATTTTTTTTCATTTTAAATTAGTATGCGGCGGATTATTAGAGTTACTTGATTTTTTTATACTTAAACCAGTTTTTTTATTATGGCAGATAAATATTATGACATACAGTAAATGAACTACTATGTACATCTTAGCAATGTACAAAAGAGGCAATTTGGACAATGGTCGACCTAATATCAATTGTATCAATTCATTCATCGTGTAGTTCTTGTTGTTTTAGTGTTTTTCAAATTTGATCTTGTGACAGTGTGAAATAATTAAATCCAGGTGTGCATGAGAAACTGAAAATTTTAAAATGAACTTTAAAATGAAGAATGAGAAGACGTAAGTACCGACTGTTAATGAATTTTAAAAGAAATAAGATATATGAGATCTCTTTAACCTTGTATTCTAATGCATCGTATTGTTCGATAGTATACAATAAAAAATTATAAATCCTACTATTATATATCTAATGAAAGTGTAATATTTTACTAAGTATTTAATTCATAACTCATACATACTCATAATGCCTTCGCCTTCATAAATCTACACATTCATAACTGATTTTTTTTACTTGTATTTAAGTTCCTTCTTGGCTTTCAGTGCACCCTACACAGTCTACATAACTTTTCTTTTTTTAAAGATGAGCATGATTTAATATCTAGCCAAAGTTATTTGTTCAGTGCTATCCTTTAAATTTGCATTGACTTGTTCCTTCCATTTATTAATTTCATTTGCCATTTACTGCTTTGAATTGCTTACGAATCATCTTCCTCAAAAATTGTACTTTGTTTCCGCCCGTACCTTCGAATCCATTTATTTTGTCAATGGAAAGTAAAAACGGTGTGTGACGTGTGGGGGAGAAGTACAATTAGCGCCCGTTTCCTTCAGTTTTGGAATTCCTTCCCCACCATTGTCCATCTTTCCTTTTTGTTCCACATACAACTTAATACGAAGAAATGAAGAAAGAATAGTATAAATTTCCATAAGAAATAAGGTAAATAACTTTTATAAATTTTAAAAATAGTTACCATAATTTGTTTTTAAAAAGATTGTTGCGTGTTTTCGCAATACCAATAAAATCCTTCATAAGAGTCTAAAGTAGTCCTGAGTCAATTATTTTGGCTTTTTGTCGGGTGACGTCGTAGTCAGTCAGTGACTTTTGCTCTTTCGGCCAGAGGCTCAATGTCGTTAGTAATCGGGTTTCCCAGGAATCGGTGCGGGCCACTTCGTCTTCGTCTTCGTCTTCGTTCGTCTTCGTCTTCGTCTTCGTCCCTCGTCTTTCATCTTCGTCTTTCGTCTTCGTCCTTTTTCGTTTCCGTCTTTCCGTCTTCGTCTTTCGTCTAACGTCTTTCGTCTTTCGGTCTTTCGTCTTCGTCTTCGTCTTCGTCTTCAATCTTTATCTTCGTTTTCCGTCTTCGTCGTCTTCCGTCTTCGTCCTCGTCTTTCATCTTCCCGTCTTTCGTCTTCGTCTTTTCGTCTTCGTCTTCGTCTTTCCATCTTTCATCTTCGTCTTTCGTCTTCCGTCTTCGTCTTGTCTTCGTCTTCCGTCTTCTGTCTTCGTCTTCGTCTTCGTCTTTCGTCTTCCGTCTTCGTCCCTTCGTCTTTCGTCTTCGTCATTCGTCTTCAGTTCTCGTCCCTTCATCTTCCGTCATCGTCTTTTTCCGTATTCGTCTTTCGTCTTCATCTTTCGTCTTTCGAGTCATCTTTCGTGTCGTCTTTCGTCTTCCGTCTTTCGTCTTTCAATCTTTCGTCTTTCGAGTTCATCTTTCGTCTTCGTCCTTGTCTTCGTCTCGTCTTTTCATCCTTCGTCTTCGTCCTTCGTCTTCCGTCTTCATCTTTCATCTTCGGTAAATTTCGTCCTTCGTGTTTCGTCTTCGGCTTCGTCTTCGTCCTCGTCTTTCATCTTCCGTCTTTCGTCTTCGTCCTTTCGTCTTCGTCTTTCCTCTTCGTACCTTTCGTCTACGTCTTCGTCTTCATCTTTTCATCTTCGTCTTTCGTCTTTCGTCTTCGTCTTCGTCTCGTCTTCGTCTTCGTCTTTCGTCTCGTCTTCGTTTCCGTCTTTCTTCTTTCTCGTCTTCGTCTTTCGTCTTCGTCTACGTCTTCCAATCTTTCGTCTTCGTCTTCGTATTTCGGCTTCATCTTTTCG